TTGGTGTGCCAGAAGAGGTGGGGCCACAGGAAGAGATCTTTCATTTCTGCTACCCACAGCCCCCTCAGCAGATGTCGGCTGGGACTAGGTCAGTCTGAAGGCAGGATCCAGGTCTCCCCCTTGAGAGTCAGGGCTCAAATACTTGGGCCATCACCCACTGCCTTCACAGCAGATATACAGAGAGGACAGGAGACAGAGAGGAAGATTTTCCATCCAGTGAGTCACTCCCCAAGCAGCCACAATAGTTGTAGCTGAGCCAATTTGAAACCAGGAGCCAGGAGCTTCTTCCAGGTCTCCCATTAGGGTGCAGAGTCCCAAGGCTTTGGGCTGTCCTCCACTGCTTTCCCAGATCACAAACAGGGTTCTGGATGGGAAGCGGAGCTGCCAGGATTAGAACTGGCATCCATATGGGATCTCAGCATGTTCAACGGGAGAACCCTAGCTGCTAGGTTGTTGTGCCGGGCCCGGACTTCACAATCTAAACACATAAAATGACAGATGTTACCAACCTAATCCTGTGTCACAGGGCACACATTCTCATCTAAATTGTTTGGTGGGTTTGTATGGCCTGTCTCCATAAGCACATATGTGCTGTCCAAGTCAGAGACCCCAGTTTACCTTCCCTGAGGCACAGCTATTATTGCAAGGCAGGTCACACAGGCCACCTGGTCATAAAGACACTGAGACACACATCTGGCCCAGATGGGTCTCCCAGGTGCTCAGGGTTCAGGCAGTGAGGGGGGGGGGCTAGGAAACAAGGTCCCACGTGGGCAGGGGAGGGGCTGAGTTCATGGTTTATACTCATGGGAATGATGCACAGGTCTTAGGATCCTGCTTCCCTACACAGATGAAATAAAAACCAGTGCCACAATGGGTACTGCTGGTTCACGTCCCACATGGCCACCATGCCAGGAGCTCAGCCAAGTCAAAACCAGAAGCCCAGAACTCCATCTGGGTCTCCCATGTGAGTGACAGGAGTCTAGGTGCTTGGCCCACTCTTAACGGCCCCAGCATCAGGAAGCTGGGTCAGAGCCAAGAATCAAACCCATAGTCTGACTGTGGCATGGTGGCTGCACAAGCAGTGGCCTAGCCCACTGTGCCTTAACACCGGCCTCCAGGAGCCAAGGTTTCTTTCTTGCTCCAAGTCTGGTATCAGGGAAGCAAAGGGGATTGGTCCCCCTCACAGAGGAACCACAGGCCTCATGGTCAGACTCGGTGTGTGATGCACCGCTGTTTGTAGTTTGAACTTGTTTCATGCCCTCACTGTGTACCCTCATGCTTTACTGTGTCTGTTGGGGGCCATCATGTAACAGAGTGTCAATGCAGAACAATGACAGCTATGTTGGCCATCAGAGAGAACTGTCCCCAAAGTACTGGGACAGCCAGTCAACACAGCACACTCACCCCTGGCCGTGGGACCCAGGGACAGACCCCTGGGGTGCACCCACTCTGCACTCTGCCACTCCCCGTGACTATGACTGATACGGATGACACACAATTTAATATGTAATCACCGCAGCATCTTCAGCTGTGGTGCAGGTGCCCAGCGCAGCCTCAGCCTCATCCTAAGGCCTGCGGGCCAGGTCTGGTGCCTTGAGGCCGGTGGCCCCATGCTGCAGAATGTTGTCACAGGGAGAACAATGAAGAGACCACAGGGGAGAGTTGGGGCTCCTGCACATGGGGCAGAAACAAGCCACCATGCTGTGTTCAAGCAGGGGGACCTGTGTACCTGAGAACCTGTGTGAGGCTCAGCCATGGCAGAGTGTCCCCCTGGGACCCCTTCCTTGGACCTTTCTTCCCCAACTACCACTATTCCCCCCAAGTGTGGGGTTCCTCCTTCGGGTGATGCTGACTGGGGTCCATGCTGAGGAGTCTTCCCTGCTCCCTTCTCATGGGCTTCTGGGCCCCAACCAGGAGCCTCCTGCCTCCTCCCCATGCTTCCTGCTTCCCAGAAGGCTTGCTGCTCTCTGGGCAGGGACAGGGAGCCTCATTCAACTCTGCTGGGCTTCACCACCCTCTGGCTTTGTTTTCATGTGTCTGTGACAAAACACTTACACACACACACAGTCTTCCATGCACTGGTTCGGTCCCCAGGCCTTTGGCCTCCATGGCCAAGGCTGGGAGAGGCCAAAGCCAGGTCTGAAACTCCATCAGTGTCTCCCATGCGGGTGACAGGAACCCAAGCACTGGGACCATGCTCTGCGGCCTCCCAGGCATGCTAGCAGGCAGCAGGATTGGGAATGGAGCAGCCAGGATACCAACTGGGAGGCCAGTAGTTTCAGGCGGGCATGGCACTGGGATGGGCTTTTGAGGACACACTAAGAAGACACTATCTTTGTCTAAAATTGACTTTTGACCTTTGGGTTAAGATACAGAACATGTACACTTCCTCAGGGCCTGACATGCCATTTCAGCACACATGCACAGCTTCAACCGACCTCACCAGCGTTACGGGGTGCAGTCAGTGATAGGCAGCACACATTGACAGTGGGCAAAGGAAATGTGGCTGTGTCCCTTAGCCTCTGTCCTGAAGGTGGGTCCTAACAACAATGGAATGTTCATTCCATCCTCAACCCCTCCCCCACCACTTAGGTACTGGCTGCTGCCCACCTGTGCCCCCTCTATCATCTGAGAGGGGATGGTATTGCATTGTTGTGTCATCACTCCCCTCACAGCCCCTTTGAAAAGGCCCATGAAGACTCATGGATTACACGATGGCATCATTGTTCCCAAGAGACTTCTGTGCTTCCTTTGTGTCACCCATGTTTTGGTTACTCAGTGGCACATTGTTTCATGGTGCTGAAATTGTGGTTGATGTTGTTGTGGGTGTTTTAACTCATACCAGTTGTTGACCTTGTTCCATGGCTTCCCACTTACAGTAATGTATAGTGATGGAGTACTGGGCTCTATCATATGCAGATGTGGGGGTGAATGGAACAAGCATCCCTGCTTCCAGATGAAAGATGGATCCCAATGAAATAGTTGGACATGTGTAGACAATGGGATGCTGGGCTGTCTCACATTGTCTGTACCACCAATGTCGGGGGACACTTAAACAAGAGACTGATAGAATTTTGACTCCTTAGGAAGGACTACACTTTTGTAACAAAATGGGAAGAATCTGTTAGGGGTGGGAGTTAGGGAGGGAATCCCAGCTTATACGAACTTGTACCACATATTAAACATTGTACCACATAATTCAAAATGAAAATATATTTTAAAAAAATTAAAAAATAAAGGCCTGTGAAGCTGGGCTCTCTGTCTGGACAGTTGCTCCATTACTCTGGCACCTTGACTCTTGGCTGCCCCAGGACAAGTAATCCCCTGAGCATGGTCCCTGTGTACTGCTGAGATGGGACCATGGATATAGTAAAGTTGTTTCTGGTTTGTGTACTGTCAGGAGTTCCAGGAGAGGTGAGGCCTAGCAGTGATGGAATGTGGGAATGTGGGCAGAGAAGCCTGGGAAAGGTGAATGTCTCAAGCTTTGTGAGTCCAGGTTATTCGATGCATGTCTCTTAGGATAACTAACATTATTGTTGGGGAAGCTGGGACATAGGTCTTTAGCTTAACGGATGGACTTGAGGGTAATGAGTAATTATTGCTCTTGGGGATATGTTTGGCTGGATTATGATTGATTGGATTATATTTGGTTGTATTATGGTGGTTCGGATTATGATTGGTTGGATTACGATTGATTGGATTATATTTGGTGTACAAGGACATTGGGACTCTAGAAGGACAGCGAGCCTAGGCATTCAATTTCCATGGGAACAACTGACTGGATACCAGGTGTATGACCTATTGGATATCATTCCTTTGAGAACAACTAAATGGATAGCATTTGAGTGAGACTGCTTGGTGGGATATATAAAACTAGAGTTCCAAACAAGGGTGTGCCACAATTGATGGGTTCTGGAGAAAAAGCTCAATACCTCCTCATTACTCTGTGTGACCCTCAGTCTAGAAATGTCTGATGGCACTAATAAACTTTGGCTGTGAGCCTCACTCAGTAGACCACGCATGTTATACTCGTCTCCATACACCAAGTCATACGCACAGGCCAGCTAACAGCCAATGACACATTTGGTCACAGCATCATGATGCCAGAAAAGGAAGAGCCGTTTTGAACCCAGGACTCTGGAGTTACAGCACAAGGAACAGACGTTAGGGCTTCTTCCAATGACATCATCACTGTTTGAAACTAGACATGAAAACTCCACTGAACATCCTGCAAGTTTTCATGACCTCCACCTGTCACTAAGCACAACAGAGAGCTCCTGGAGTCCTTGTGTTTCAGTTGAAGAGAAGATTCTGGAGAAAATCCCGTCGCTTCCTGAAGCTCTGATTGGCCCATGCCTGGACCTACTAAAAAACCATGGCAGTGTGTTCATGTGCGTGCCAGTCCCTGCTGGGCTCTGATTGGTGCGTGCCTTGCTCCGACTTCACAAGGAGCCCTACTGTGATGTAGCCCCCAGAAGTGTATATGTAGCCGCTGGCTGGCCCTGGCTTCTGTCTGCTTGGCCCAGGGAGCTCTATTGGTGACCTGTGTGGCTTGGACCCCTCTGCCCTAGCGGTAGTGCTCGGTGCTGTGGTGCGTGCTTGGTTTGGTTGGTTTGTTGGTTTCTTGTTCTATTCTGTTTATTCTTGTGCCCATTTTCTTTAGCTTGTTTTTTTGCACCTCTTTGTTGTTTTGCCCATTCTGTCTTTTTTTGCTCTTTTGCTGGTTTTTGCCTCCCCCATGTGTAGTTAGCCAGCTCGGTCAGACTTGCTAGGGGTAGTGCAGTAGGTGGCTTTTCCTCTTTGTTGTGTTCTGTTTTCTTGAGATAGCCTTGTTGCTTGGGTTAGTCTAGTTAGTCCAGCTAGAGTGCCACATCAGTGAGAGGCAGTGAGGGCCCTTGCGATCCCTTTTTGTTTGTAGGTAGCTCAGTCAGGGGAAGCGATTAGTTAGTGTTTGTGAATCGAGAGTACAGTTGAGAGAGTGTAGAGAGGGATTGTTGGCCATGTACACCACCTGGGCCTTCCATCCGCCGCTTCCTGGCTACGAGTTCAGTGACATCATCGGCCAGGGCGGCTATGGCGTGGTGAAGCTCGCCCGCCAGCTGACCACGGGCAGGGACGTGGCGGTGAAGATCTTCCTGCAGGAGCGCCGAGCCTCCAGCTCGGGGAGCGTGGCCCGGGAAGCCAGCCTGATGCGCAGCCTGCAGCACCCACACATCCTGCAGCTGCTGGAGGAGCAGCAGCAGGGCAGGTTCGTCTTCCTGGTCATGGAGCTGGCCAGCAGGGGCACCCTGGAGTGCTATGTGCATGAGCAGGGCGGCCTGGGGGAGCAGGAGGCCAGCTTGCTCTTTGCCCAGATCCTGTCGGCCATGGAATATTGTCACACCAGCTGCATAGCACACAGGGACATCAAACCGGGCAACATTTTGCTGGACTCCAACATGCATGTCAAGCTGGCCGACTTTGGGCTCAGCTGCCGGCTGCCCAAGGGCACGCGGATAAGGGGCTTTCACGGGACCCCCGAGTACTGTGCCCCGGAAACCTTTTCCGGGGAGGAATACGATGCCTTTCTGGCGGACATGTGGAGTGTGGGGGTGACTCTCTTTGAGATGGTGACGGCAACACTGCCCTTCACTGGGGACACTGCAGAGGAACTTCAGAACCGCATCGTGGCTGGCGGCTACGTGCTGCCACGGTCCTGCAGCCCGGCCCTCACCGAGCTCCTGGGCTTCCTGCTCAGCGTGGAGGCCTGGGCCAGGTTCACCGCCCAGGTCGCCAGGACGCACTGGTGGTTCGGCTCCTGCGCCCAGGAGCCGCAGGACAGCCCCGTGCCCAGGGAGGACTCTGTCACGCTGCTGGAGCTCCTCAGTGTCCCCCAGGACCTCAAGGACAGGCAGTACCTCTCAGAGCTCGGCCTGCTGCCTGGCAGCACGGCACAGGGGACGCCAGAGCCTGCGGCCCACAAGTCCGGCTGCCAGCCGCCTTGCTGCTTGCCAAGCGCTGGCAGCCATGGCGCTCAGGACTCCTTACATCTGAGCTCCTTCCACAGCGACTCGGTGTGCTTTACGCCCAGCTCCTCCACAGCCAGCCTCTCCAGCGAGCCCTCAGGTGAGTCTGCCCTCCCACCAGCTGCTCTGGGCCCCGCTAGGGCCCCTGGGAGCCTGGGCCTGAGGCCGCCCCAGGGGCCCACATGCTTTGCTCTCTCCTACCAGGCCAGCTGCAGGAAGAGCAGAGCTCCGTTTCCAGCGCATCCCACGAGCCGGTGCCTGAGGCCTCCTGCTCCGTGGCCAGCACCAGCAGCCCAACGGACCTCGCAGAGCCGGAAGTGGAGGCGCCACGAGAGCCTGAGAACACCGGGACGCCCATGCCCGCCAAGGAGGGGAAGCGGGGCTTCCGTGGGGCCTGCAGGAGGTTCCTGAAGTTCCTGCAGCGCGCCTGCTGCATCCGGCAGGACCCGGACAGGGGCCCCGGCCTGCGCTCCCGAAAAGTGGCCCCTGAAGACTCTGCCCAGTCCAAATTAAGATGACTCTCAGCTCTCGGAAAGTTCTAGTTTCTTATAAAATTCTTATAAAAGTCCTAACTGCGTGTCTGGCTCCTGTCCTGTGTGGTGTCCGTGGCCTCTGTGCCCTTTGCAAGGTCCTATGGAGTAGCCCCAGGGCTGTGTCTCAGAGTCTGGGGGAGGGGAGGCCCAAAGCCTACACAGGACACATGCGTGGGAGGGATGGGCTCTGAGGGCTCTACCACAGCAGGCAGGTCCCAGCTACAGTGACGGGCATCGCAGCAGAGTGGACTGTCTCCACCCATGTTCCCCCACATTGTCCATGGAGAACAGGACCCCAGGGGCCATGGACTTGACCTCATGGTATGCAGAGCATCGACTGTGTACTCACAATTGCCTGGACCACGTGGGACACGAGAGCCACATGGCCCCAACCAGATACACCCCCAAAGATGGCTCTTGTGAGTGTGGTGGTGGAGTGGTCCCAGCTGGTGTGCACACGTAGTGACATGGTGGCATTTCACCCTCTTCCCACAGTTTGGTGTGTGTGTGTGTGTGTCTGTTTTTAACAGAATCAGCAACTATGTTGGCTAAAGTTAACACAAAGTTGGCATTAGCCAGACCCAGAATGCCCACCTGGCTGCTTTTCTGCCAGCTGTGTAACATCTGCCACAGTGCCAGGCAACCCAAGCAGCTGCCCATTGCTAGGCAGGATGTCAAACTATTTGGCACCAAAATAAACTTCCTTTCAAAACTGTTTTTCATGGATATTTTGCAGTTTACTTTGCACCAAAATAAACTTTTTAATTCTATCTTCTGAAGTAATAGTAATAGTCTAATTATGGCAATGCTAAAATAAGAGTCTCCCCAATTTGTTTTATAAGGTAAAAAGCGGAGTGAAATATTAAATTTCACAGATCTCAATACAAAGCATCTGAATTCTTTTCTCCAGAAACAAGTTCTGGGAATAGGTTTTAAAAGCTACCAAGATGATTCTTTTGGTTACCTCAGCGATGCTATTGTATGTTGGTTTTTTTAAAGAAGATTTCTCTATTTTTATTGAAAAGTCAGATATACAGAGAGTAGTAGACACAGAAAGGAAGATCTTCCATCTGCTAACTCACTCCCCAAGTGCCCACAACGGCCAGAACTGTGCCAGTCCGAAGCCAGGAGCCAGGAGTCTCTTCTGGGTCTCCCACGTGGGTCCAGGGTCCAAGGATATGGGTCATCCTCGACTGCCTTCCCAGGTCACAAGGGAAGTGAGCAGGATGTGACATGGGGTGGCTGGGACATGAACGAGTGCCCATCTGGGATCCTGCATGTGCAAGGTGAGGACGTTAGCTGCTAGGCTATCACACCAGGCCTTATGTCTGCTTTGTCCAAGAAAGGTTAATTAGGGTAGGTAGGAAGGATCGAGGGTTAGGGGAATGTGGGTGAGATATCACTTTCCAATTTTCTTTTTCTTCCTCCTGGATCTGGGGAAGGGGGGGAATAGGGGAGTAGGCGCACCCAGGCTCAGTACCAGGGATGGGGAACAGCCACCTGACGTTAACCCAGGGTCCTCCATGTGGAGCATCTTCTGAGGACTCTGCTTCAGTGCTGCTGTTTCTCTCCTTGATCCGAGGATGAGGAAATCCTTCCAAGGTCCGTTGGCTGACACAGTCCACCTTGCAGTCTCCATTCACTGTCCTCGCCTGGCCTGGACTCCAATTTGTTCTGCTATGGTAGCAGGTGTCCTCTGCAGGCTCCAATGGGCTGCCATATCCTCCATGTGCATATGGACATGCCGTCCACGGCTCTGTCTTAGCCACTGAGGAGGCCCAGTTCTGACACACACACCCTACAATCAGCCCATCAGTGCTGGACATGAGCCCTCAGGTCCCCACATGTCCCCCAACTGTGACACTCACCACACCCGCTCCTACAAACCCACGCCATCAACCCCCGCAGGTGCACTACAGGGCAAACAATGGGCTTCTCCAGGCAGCATTGACACCCTGGCTGTCTGACCCAGGCTCCAGCGGAATACCTAATGCTGGGACTCCCAGGCCTGGCCCCACACTCAGGCAGGGCAAAAGACCCAGGCCATGTGATCCAGGCCTAGCAAGCCCTGCCCCCAATGCCTAAGGCCAAACTCCTAACACCCAGGTAGGGCAAAGGACCCAGGCCATGCAACTCAGACCTGGTAGCCAAAACTCAGGCCATGTCACTGGAGCTCCCAGTTCCAACTCCTACCACCTAGGTGGGGCAATGGACCCAGAACATTAACCTGAGTCCTGCCTGACTGCCAAGGTGGGGCAAAACCCAGGCCTTGGTGCCTTGGCCATGCACGATTGCCCTGCCCCCAGGGCTCTTGGGCCCAGTTCTCCAAACCCCTGTGGGCAAGAGATGCAGGCCATATGACCAGGGCCCCAGCTGACTGCCAAGGATGGGCAAAACCCAGGCCATGCTACCCCAGCTCTACTTGACCACCTACTCCTTTGTTCCTGGGCTCCTTTGTGAGCTAAGGAGTTGATTAGTGCTCGTCAGCCTGGGCAGGAGCAGGAACTGGGTTTGTGGATAAAAACGCCTGGACTGATTGGACTCATCCGTACCCAATATCCTGCTAAATGAGGATGTGGGGGGGCGGGGGGAAGAGTATATAAGGGGAGGTGAAGGAACAATAGAGAGAGACTTCACAGAGACTTCCAGCATCAATGATGTCCTGTTGGTGCTTCATCCCAGACCCTCTCCGTGTCCACGTTTTTGGCTCTACTGGCCAGAGCAAACAGCACCTAATGTGGGGCACAGCACGAGGAATAATCTGAGGGACCCCTGGACCTACAAAGGTAAGTTTAGAACTGAAAATGTTGCAGGGGAAAAAGTGGTTTCATCCCCAGTTTCTCTCCCTGTCCAGGGCATGAGGGACAATCTGAGGGACCCTGGAACTCTGGAGGGGCTTTCATGATTTCATCCCCAGACCCTCTCTCCGTTCAGGGGCACGAGGGACAATCTGAGGGACCCTGGACATCCAGAGACAATTTCAAAAATTTTGCAGGGACATAAGTAAAATTTATCATGGGGCAAGAATTCGCGAAAGTGCACATGATTAAGGGAATCTGAGATCTGCTGCAGTCACAAGGCGCGACACTAAGCTTAAGGCCTCGCAGAAGGTCGTTGAAACTCTGTGAAGTATCCCCATGGTTTGCTCTCCTTGTAGCCACCTTTTTCCTCTGGCACTTACTAAAAGATTCTTTGTCATGCCCTCAAGCAAAGGTACAACCATTCCTTGAAAAATTATCTGTAACAAGGGGAAGGGAACCGCAAACCAGGGTAAACAGGAATCCCAGACCAGACTAAGTCTGGAGAAAGTACGTGAAGAAGATTTGCGGTCCTCTTCTGAGGAGCAGGAAGGGCAAGGGGATGGAGGTGAGTCATCCGAGGATCCTCCAGCTGTAGAGCATGTGCCCACAGAGCATGTCCTGAGCAAAAATCTCTTTGGCCAGACATGGAGCCCTCTGCACAGCCTGTTCCATCGGCGCCATTAAATCTGGGCGCAGCTGTGAAAGATTTACAGAAGCAACTTCAGCGTCTCTCCCTTCAGCTGAGGCAGGATTAGCTACAGCCCCAGACAAAATACAACTTGTTTCTCCCTTTAATTATGTGGAATTTCAACATTTTCAGAATTATATTAAACCCCACAAAATTCCCATAGCCCAGATGCTTTTAGCCATCTCTCAGAAGGCATCCAAGAATTCAGAAGTGTCCAATTCTAGGGCTTCCCTTGGCATTCTTCCAAGGCCTCAAGAATGCCAACAGATTAATCTCCCATTTTGTGGAGACAGTTATCCAGGTTGATTGAATGATATTAAGATTATTTGCAAATGAGCATGACACACATCCCAGAGTTTGGAACACTAAAGTATGTGCATGTTACTGTCGATACTTGCTCAGGATTTATTCTAGACTCTTCAGTCAGTCAGGGGAACAAGTCAGGCACGCTCTAGCCCATTGCAATGCGTGTGTTTCCATCTTGGGAACTCCAAAGTTATTGAAACTGATAATGGTCCTTGCTATGTCAGCACTAACTTTTCTGATTTTGCTGCCTCCCACCACATACAACTAATTACAGGCATTCCTTATAATCCTCAAGGACAAGGTATTGTGGAATGCACCAACCGTACTATCAAGAATTACCTTATTTAAACAACAAGGGAGAGTATAGCACTCCTCAAGATCATTTGAACCGTGTATTAGTTATCTTAAATTTTCTAACATTGGATGCTGCAGGACGGCCTGCTGCAGATCATCACTGGAATCCATCTCATAAGGAGAAGGGTTACGTGATGTGGAAGGATCCGTTGACTGGTCAGTGGCAAGGCCCAGATCCTTCCTCATATGGCGGTGAGGATCAGTTTGTGTTTTCCCAGAAAACGAAGATGGTCCACGGTGGATTCCTGAGAGGCTTGTCCGGCAAGCTCCTGCTGCGGAGTCTTGTGAAAGCTCTGGTACCTGCCATGCTGATGGCATTTGAGTCGGAAGATCGACGGGACAAGCAAGTATATTAGTTCTTTATTTAGTATATAAGTATATTAGCATATTGTTAAGCACCGCTCTCTTTTCCTTTTCTTTCTCCTATGAGCACCAAGGTTTCGATATTTCCCTCGTTTTCTGTGTGGCAGCGTTGTGGGTATGGGCATGAACTTCATGCAACCCGTCCCCTGTTTTTTATATAGGGAGGCAAGTATTACTATGGAAATTATTAGTTCAATCATTCCTCTGGATTTGAGGACTCGCTCACATGGGTGAACCTTAGCTGCCTGAATTTTAAACCCGTGTCTGCCTGTGTTAACCCCCCATTTCTCTCTCTTACATACAGAAACGTCTCTGAAGTGAACTGCACCGAGGTCAGCTGCACCCTCACAGCATGTTGGAATGGCAATGGCGATACTGCTGTTGTCATGCGGCTGCCCAGAATCCTGCCTGTGCCTGTCGGGGACTGATGGAGAGGCCACTGTTGGCCGGATAAGGCATAAAAAACATTTTGG